ACCTGTAGCCAAGTCTTGCTCTGCAAAACTTGTAACATGGCACCATGCACTTTATCTTTCTGCTTGTTAGCATCTACTTCCAGATATTTCTGCGGGTGTCAGATACTGCATGTTATAAGATGGGCCTCCTGCTGAGATCACCCCACTGAGATCATCCCACTGCTGACACAGGTATGTCCTGAACATCCCCTCTTTTCCCCATAGAACTTGGCCACTGCAGCTTCTTTGCCCACCATCTAAGTTATTGTGGACTGTCTATTGAGTAGACTGGTAGGTAGACTGTTCATGTGCTGAGGTCTCCAGCAAAGCTGGCTAATTAAGGAGGGGGGAATACAGAATGAAAATACAGGCAAATTTTGTACACATACACACGTATATAATTTTTCTAGTGACTTGACTATCAGGTTGAGGCAGCAGGAGTAACCATAGTCTTTCAGTGTTGAAGACTTCTAAGGGCCTCAATTCACATCTGCTACTGAGCCATCTGTTTAGAAACACAGTTTTCCTTCAATGTGAAGGCTGGTGTAGAACAATCTATGTCACACAGAGAAACTGCAAGCAGGCACTGTATCATGTCTCAGACTACATGATGCTTCCTTCAAGTTTTCTGAAGCGTTTAGCTCCAGCCCCACCTCCTTTATCCATCCTTACCTTACCTCAAGGTTAAACAATTTGCATTGGAGTTCTTTGTGTTAGGTAAGCAAAAACTATTATTCTGGCTGATCTGGGTCTTTGTCTGAGGTTCAGTATCTACTATAAGTCATTTGTCCTCCATTATTGTTCATGTCTTAAGATCCCTTCATAGCTTACAAACATCTGCAAACAAATTTGTGTTTAAAATTCCCAAGATAGTACAGTCAAAGTAAAGATTATTTCCTCCAATACATTTTATGATGGTAAGAGAAAAAGTGGTTTGGACGAGTGGCATAGCTGGCGAGTAGCAGATCAATGTCTGAATATTCTATATCTAAGACTTTCGCTTTGACACCGAATATTATTTTTCATTCAATCAATAAATGCTTTTTTAAAAAAAATATTATGTGCTTAATACAGCAATGAACCAAACAAATGTAGTTTCTACTCTTGTGGACCTCCCATTCAATTGGGGTCTCTGTGAAATGAGTTGCTTCAATTGGTGCTCAAACAGGGGTAATTTTGCTCCCCAGAAAATATCTGAAATGTCTGGAAGCATTTTTGGTTGCTACAACTTGGAGAAGTGGTACCACTGACATGTAGTGGGTGGATGTCAGGGATGTCATTAAGCTTCCTTTGACCTATAGGGCGGTCCTAAAGAATCACCCAAGTCAAAATGTCAATAGAGCTGAGGCTGTGAAACCCTGAGGAAGATTAATTATTTTCTTCAATCTATGCGTAAAGAATAGAACTTAAGGGGCTGACAGGTGGCACATTGGTTAAGCCACTGGACTCCTACATGGCCAGCTGCAGTTTAAGTCCCAGACCCAGAGACTTGAAACTCACACTGGGCATGTGTACCAGCATGCCCAAAATCCCAAGAGGAGAATGGAGGAGAAAGAATTATGGTGTGGCCAACCCCCATCAGAGGTGACTTCTCACTTTCTCTCTCTCTCTTCATCTCTCTCTTTCTCTCTGGCAAGTGTGCATGCCCTATAGCAAACCTCCTCTCCTCCCCCCCAAAAAAAATGGAATTTAAAATTCATTTTAAATAAGGAGCCCAAGATATGCATAATGAATTTCTATCATGTGGAAACTATTGAATGATTTGGAATTTAAAAAATTAAAGAGATGCCTTCAAAAGAGAAGTGTTAAAAACACTAATTTAGACAAAGGGAAGGAAGGTTTGTCTGGCTATACACAATACTGACAAACTGCTATCAGCACAAAAAACATGCTACATGTGAAGAGTGTTCTTTTTTTTATTTTAGAGGTTTTTTTTTTTTTTTTTTTTTGCTATAGGGTACATACGCTTGCCAGAAAGACAGAGAGAGACAGAGAAATAAAAAGCAAGATATCACCCCGCAAGGGGGGATGGCCACATCACAATCCTTTTTCCTCCATTCTCCTCAGGATCTTGGGCATGCACACACATGTGCCTGGTATGAGTTTAAGCCACTGGGTCTGGGACTCAAACTGCGGTCGGCTACATGGAGTTCAGTGACATAGCCATTATGCTAACTGCTGGTCCCAAGAGTGTTCTTTTGTTATTGTGCCTCTGAATTTCCCTGTAACCCAGTCAAGAAAAACAAGAACCAGACACTGAGATAATTGAGGAACTTCTCTTTCTATGACATTGGAACACCAGCACTGCACATTCTGGGACTAACTTATTTTTTTGGCTTCTGCCATGGAGCATGTGTACTCACCAGAGAGAGACAGAGATAGAGAGAGAGAAAGTGAAAAAATCGCCCATCGGGGGGGGGGGATGCCACAGCCCCTTCTCCTCCATTCTCCTCTAGGGATTTTGGGCACATATGCATATGTGCCCAGTGTGATTTTTAAACCACCAGGTCTGAGACTCAAACTGCAGTTAGCCATGTGGGAATCCAGTGCCTTCCCCACACCACCTGCTGGCCCCTGGGACTGACTTTTTAATTTAACTCTCTAATTTCTGCAATCTTTATGGGTAAAAATGATGGTTCAGTAAGATAGTGGGCCAGCTGATTCTAGTTTTCCAAGCAAAGAAAGTAGGGTAGAAGTGAGATTATTGTCCCAAGCCTTGCGACTGTGACCCTTGGGCTCTTTGGTTACCCAAGGTGGCATTGTTTACCAGGACTGGATGCTACAGCTTTCGTAGGCCGTGACAGATAAGGAATGGCTGGTGCAATGAAGTTTCCCTCCTTTTAAACTGAATCATGCCAGATTTATTCTTACACATAAATTTTGGGATGAAAACCAACCCTCTGAAAAGAATGAACAGGAAATTAAATAACAATAAGCTAGTCAGTAGTTAGAAATAAGTTTTAATGCTATGTTTACACTCAAACACTTGAGATCTTAGACAGGATATTTCCCGTTTGGCCCTCAATTTTCTCATATGTAAAACAAGAAGAGAGGATTAGATGACTTATGAAATCCTATGAATCACATGTTGACAGAATAAATTATGCTCACTGTGATTAAAAAGTGTTTAGGGTGATCCCTTCTCATCTTCCTGCTATCTCTCTCTTCTGTTTGATTCTGAAGACAAAGTGTTGGATAAAATGAACATGACTCCATTTGTCTCTAGGAAAAGCAGACTCATCTCAGGTCACCTGAGCCCCTATCTTTGAGTCAAGTGTTAAAATTCTGAATCAACAACAAAAATATGTAAAGATCATCAATGGAAGTTCACATAACAAGGCCAAAAGTAGTGCCCTACAAGATTTACTCAGTTCTTGGTGAAGGATGTCAATCTTTTTTTCTTTTTTTGGAGAGGTTTTTCCTATAGGGCACATGTCCTCATCAGACAGAAAGAGACAGACATAGAGACAGAAAGCGAGAAATCACCCCCAAGGGGGGATGGCCACGCCACAATCCCTTCTCCTCCATTCTCCTCTCGGGATCCTGGGCACGCACGCACACACGCCCGGCGTGAGTTTAAGCCATCGGGCCCGGGACCCGAACTGCAGTCAACTACCTGGGAGTCCAGAGACATAGCCATTACACTAACTGCTGGTCCCAAGGATGTCAATCTTAACAAGCAAGACTTACGTGGGAACTTCAAATAGTTCATGGAAAAATGGAATTAAAGTATGAGTTTATTTTGGTGCAAAAAAATGCATTTTCTATGAACTGTTTTTTTTTTTTTTTTTGGAGGGATTTTTGCCATAGGGCGTGTGCGCTCCCCAGAGAGCGAGAGGGACAGCAGAAAGCAAGAAATCACCCCCGTGGAAGGATGGCCACGCCACAATCCATTCTCCTCTTGGGATCTTGGGCACTCACGCACATGCGCTCGGCGTGAGTTTTAAGCCACCAGGTCTGGGACTAAAACTGCGGTTGACTACATGGAAGTCCAGCGACATAGCCATTACGCTAATTGCTGGTCCCTCATTTTCTATGAACTTTTTGAAGAACTCACGTATTAAAATTGCTAGAGGACACTGTGCAATCTCCTGAATGTGACTGAAACCACCTGTCTATCCCATCTGACCCATGCATCTTTCCAAAGGCAGTAGAGGTTACAAGTGAGTGTAGAAGTGTACTTAATTTCTATCTAGAATCTTTATTTTCTCCTGGATGTTTGTGCTTTGTGCTTATGGCTAGGTAAGTTCTGTCCATTTAGGAGAATGTGTGTGTTTGGCATAGGACTCAAATCGAAACCAGCAGTTTCCACTCACAGACTTTCATTCTGCAACATTTTTCTGGAGACACCCAGTTCTCCAATCCATCCTAAGGTCTAGGAGGATTCCAAAAAAAGTGACTGCTGAGTTCAGTAAGCCATCAGTTTCTCTAAATGAAGGCAATTGTAGGCCCTCCTTAGGTGTCAGGCAATATGTGTGCCAGTAATAACTTCTCTTGGCCCAGACACTTATATCAGTATGAGTGAGGGAGGTAACTTTTGGAAAATCCTTGGGCTCCCCGGGCTTTTTGCACCCCAGCTGGCTTCCTTGGTTTTCACACCTCATTGTAGTCTGAGGAGTTCTCTAAGAGGAGTTTTCTCAGCAGAACAAAACTTAACTGTTTGTCAAGACAATATTTCTGTAAATCTCTAAACCAAATCAGTAAGGAGGTACTTCTCATTTCAGGGATTAACAAGGGAAATGGAGCTTTCCTTACTGAGGGTAGGAATAAAAAAGGCAATTTTTCATCCAGTAATAAGGCCCAGGTTAGTAAATGCTAGTTATTATTTTATGACTCTTGAACGACCAGGTCAAGCAAACTCTATGCCCTCAAGTAACCCTGAAACCAGGTGGTTTCAGATCTTTAGGCTCCTGTCCCAAAAATTTGTACAGCAGTTTCCTGGAGCTAGCTGGAAGAAGCTGAGGCCGTTGGAATTTGGCCTGGGTTTGTAAATCTTTAGCTAACAGGGGTCTGATTCAATTCTGCTTTTAAAAATCAAAAAGATAATGGGTGCTATTTTAAATCACCCTGGGGTTTGCAACCTTTTTAATTTCTCACTCTGTCTGTAGAAGACCATTTTTTCTTACTGTCTGCCACACCTCTGTAGGTAAGCAGTAGAATGTGCCAGGCCTTCAGAAAAAATGTCTCCTTGTTTGTGTCTCTCATACTCGTCTTTCAGCATGTTGGTTTGCTCTGCCTGAGCTTTTGGAAACTGGCAGCCTTAGGGAGGATTTTGTGACCAGTATTATGATTTTTGTTGTGTGCTTGCCAGTCCTCTTCTGATTCCGGTCGAGTCAGTCTTGTTGAGTCTTGATGCTTATTCTCTTTTTGTTTACTCCACAGGGGATTTCGTCACAGTGCCTCTGGGAATGGATGGCATACACTTTTCTGTATATGTGATGAGACTCCATCTCAAAGTATATTCCAAGTATTGGGCAATCCCTAACTCAACCTCCTTCCAAAATGGTACTATTCTTTTTTTTTTCCCTTAAACCTGATTTCAATGGCATGTTTTGCCTCCTTGTTTGTAAAATCAGAATTTTGTTCTGGATTTTCTAGCCCTAAATTGAGATGATGTAGTTTGAGAGCTGTAGAGTGATTTTCTGGAGCAGCTTCTCTTTTTCTTCAGGACAGCCTTTGGATGGGTTTCATCATAAAGAATGTAGTGCTGGGACCAGCAGTTAGTGTAATGGCTATGTCACTGAACTCCCACGTAGTTGACCACGGTTCGAGTCCCGGACCCAGTGGTTTAAACTCACAGCGAGTGTCTGTGTGTGTGTGTGTGTGTGCCCAAGATCCTGGGAAGAGAATGGAAGAGAAGGGATTGCTGCGTGGCCATCCCCCCCTGGGTGGTGATTTTTCTCACTTTCTGTCTCTCTGTCTCTCTCTGTCTGTCTGGTGAGCGCATGCGCCCTACAGCAAAAACCTCTAAAAAAAAAAAAAAAAAAAGAATGTAGTGCTTGTGGCCAGCACGTGAAGGGATCACTATAATTTAACAGTGGGCTTAAAATATTATAGATTTGGTGAGTGGATGTCATAGGCTGGCTCTTGGGTTAGATCCATCCAATCCAGGTCTTTAGGAGAGCTGGTATCTTTTGCCACTTGAAGTTTTGTAAGAGTATGATAAAAGACAATTCTTCCAGCCAACAGGCTGGATCACCTAGGGATAGGGGTTTTCCTATACTCAAAGCAGTAGAACAGGGAGGCCTTTTATTATGAATCAATATCAAGTGTACTTTGGGAAGTCCCAATGAGTATTCTGGGGCCCACAAAAAGCAAGTCTGGGTTAATTCCAAACCTCAAGAGATCCTGGAGCAAGGCTGCTTCAGCCCATTTGAAATCCTTTCCAAGAACATGAAGAACGTCCTCAGGTGAGTCCAGTCCTCATTTCTTGAGCATGCTGCAGTCATTATACTGGTATTGCTGACTTGGCTCAGAATCCTATTTGTTTTAACTATTGCTTTAAAAAAAAAAAAAAAAAAAAAAACTTTGCCAGAGGGCACATGTGCTAGCTGGAGGGAGAGAGAAAGTATCTCCCATGGAGAATGGTCATGCTGAAATCTTTTTCCTCCATTTCTCCCTCCTTTTCGTATTTAGGGCACACATGCACATGTGCTTGAAGTGTTTCTCAAGCCACTGGGTCCGGGACTTGAACCACATAGACAGCCATGTAGATCCAGCTGCCTTAATCATGACACCCTAGACTGGCCCTACTATTGTTAGTACTCATTGAGGAGATATTCAAGTCTTATTTGTTCTGAAAACAATGATGGCTGCCAGAAGGTGGCATGGTGGTTAAGGCACTGGACTTCCAGATAGCTGACTAAGTCCCAGACCTGGTAGCTTGCTTTCTCACTTCCCCCCTCACCCTCACTCTCTGGCAACTATAATAATAAAATAATAATAAATCCATAATTATTTTTTTAAAAAGCTCTTCTGTTAAAAAGAATGACAAGCTCAGTCTATCTCTAGATTTTAGTTCTAAAATACAATATCGATATATGAGAATGAATTCACAGGGTAAGAATTCTTAGCACATACCAACAATTAGATACCCTGCTGTTTCTTGCTTTCAATTCTGTGATGGCTCTTTATTTCACCCGGACACAGCTAAAGTTTTTACAGTGATTTAAGACTCAACATTCCTTACCCTGCCATATTTTTTTTCCCACTTCTTCCACGGGAGACAGACAGAGAGAGAGAAACAGAAAAGGCACCCCCAATGGGGTTTTCACATTGCAATCCACCGCTAGTCTTAGCTGTCCTGAAGCACAGGCGCATCTGCACCCAGTACACTCAAGGAAGTCCTGGGATGTGAACCCAGGACTTTCTCCACATAGGTCCATTTGCATTATCATTGCACTGCTGCCTGGCCCCCGCCGCCCATTGTGCTTTATGACCCCATTGTGCTTTCTGACCTTGCCTCCTAATGACTTTCCCCCTCTGCACATGACCTGCCTTATAACTTTGGCTTTCTATCCCAGATTTCTACACGGTTTGCTCTCTCATCTCCTCCAAGGTTTTGCTAACAGCTCACTTTCTCTCTGAGGCTTTCCCTGACTACTTGATACCGCAGCTGTCTCCCTGGCCCTCCTAGGGTTTCTGATCACCCTAGTCTCCACTGTTATTGTTTCCCCCCCAAGGCACTTAGAAATACTATGTCACTTAAGTATTTTATGTTATTACTTGTTTCCCTCAACTATGATGAATGCAGACTCCATGAGAGAAGCGATTTTTGCTTGTCTGTTTTGTTTACTGATAAATCCCACATGCCTAGAACAGTGCCATAATGCTGGGTAGACAGTAGGGACTTAACAAATACATACATACATACATATATATGTATTGTGTTGAAAAACTCATGACATATTTTTGTTTTTTTTAATCCAAAAGTGCATCATGACATATGATATATATAAATATACTAAATTGAATTATTTAAAAAATACATGTAACTAATTTATAAGCTATCAGTCTTTTTGTCTCTCTATTGATAAAAGTTTTAGACTTCCCGAGGTTTTGTAAGGACACAGTTCTTTGGTTTGGGTTGAGGTTAAAAAGAAAGAAAGAAAAAGAAAAACCTCTCTATTTGTCAAGAGGATAATATGTCGAGAACACATAGTAAATACTGTGCTTAAAATCAGACTTGCTGGGGGTCAGCAGATGGCATAATGATTGCATGATTGCATCGCTGGCCTCCCATGTAGTTGACTGCAGTTTGAATCCCGGACCTGGCCACTTAAAATTCACGCTGAGCGAGTGTGCATGCCTGCCCAAAATCCTGAGAGGAGAATGGAGAAGGGATTGTGGCATGGCCATTCCTCCTGGGGGAGGGAGGGATTTCTCACATTTTGTTTCTCTGTCTCTCTCTGGCACACACATGTGCCCTGTAGTTAAAAAAAAAAAAAATCTCTCTATAAACAAAATAAAACAAAACAAACCAGTAGGCTACTAAAAACTTAGGCCCTTTTAGGAACAGCTCTCATTACAGTAATTAATCCAGCAGACATGTAGTTGGAGGGTTTTTGATGGCAAACAACAGAAAACTACACTCATACATGTTCTTGAAACAAAAGGTTATATCCAACTATGGTCCATTTTATTGGTAAGTATCTGCCCAAGAGAATGAAACATATGTCCACAAAAATTTTGTATGAGAATATTTGTAGCAGTTTTCTCATAGTAGGCAAAAACTGGAACCATCTCAAGCATCAATTAATAGAACAGATGAACTATGATATACTCAAACAATGGGGCTCCATTAGCAATAAGGGGAATGAGCTACATGTAAGGATATAGATTAATCTAAAAACTGTCATGCTGAGTGAGAAGACTCTTACACAAAAAAGTATGTAGAAAATATCAGAAATGTAGTTATCTCTGGAGATTTGTGGAGGAGACTGACAAGGAACGATCATGGATGAACAATCCAAGGTGGTGATGGTATTCTATATTTTTAGGGGTTTGAATTACACAGATGTATGCATTTGTCAAGACTCAGTAAACATATAACTAAGATCTATGCATTTCACAACATACAAATTTTATTTTGGAAGAAAAGAATATAAATAAATATTGATCTCTAGTAAATCATACAAATGCTGAAGTATTCCTGTCAGATATACTATATAAAGCACAACAGTTTTTAGATTCATCCACATTGTTACCTATAGCTCATTCCTTTTCATTGCTGGTTATCCCATCGTATGTATGGTAAACTGGACAGATATTTACACTTACTTTAAAATGTATCAAAAAATAAAAGAGATTGAGGAATTGGTAGAAGGAGTGACATATGAATAGATATAGAATAAAGAAAGTATAGCATATATTAAAGACAGCTTCTAAACATTTTTTAAAAAGTCTTGACTATATGTTGAAACAATTTATAATATAATATTAAAAATAAGATAAAGAGAAGCCTGCTTCATGTAACAAGGAAACTGAGAGATGGACCAGGTGAGCCCAAGGATTTATCGTTATTCTCTATGCTGTTCCTTCTGTCCTGTTTCTACTAGTAAACCATTTGTACTTCTTTCTAGGATCGGTTTCTCCACTTTATACTGGGTCCCACTTACTCTTATCATTCAAAAATATTGCTCAATAAATTTCTCCTTATCTCTCTTGCAACATAAACTTTTCTCTCTCTTTCTCTCTTCTGGATCATTCCCTTCAGCACATAAACATGTAAGCAGTATGTGTAATACTGCTTATTTTAAGTCTCTCCTGTGATGTTACATGTCTCTTCAGGTAGCATCATCTTTTTTTAAGGATTATTTATTTAATTTTATTTATTCATTAACTTATATATATATTTTAATTTGACCAGAGGGGTGGGGGGAAGAGAGGAGAGGGAAAGTGAGAAAGTAAACAACCAGGTCCGGGACTCGAACTGTGGTCGGCCATGTGGGAGTGTCCAGCACCTTAACCACCACACCACTACTGGTCCCAAGGTAGTGTCATCTTGGTCTCCTTTACAGCAACACTCTTCAATGGACTGTATTGCTTACTGTCTTCACTTCCTCTCCTTACATTCTCTCCCACTCCAAGCATGTTCTAATAGCCACTGCTCCACTGAAATAACTTCTGTTATGATCATCAATAACATTCTTTCTGCCAAAAGAATGGTCAAATCTCAGGCCTCATCACATTTAAGTTGCTTTGCACATTGATGACTACTCTCTCCTTGAAACATTTCCTCCTTTTGGTTGTTCTTGGTCTTCTTTCTGGTTCCTGGACAGTGTTCTTTTCAGATATTTCCCCCCAGGATGCTACTCATCTTCTTTACCTCCTGAAATTGTCTAGGGCTAGTCTCCTTTATTTCACCCACATTCAGTTCCTAGTTAATGCCATCCATTCATCAAGAACTCCTAAATGTATAATTCCACACTGACCTCAGTTCTCAATTCTAGATTCATATTTTCAATCACTCCAGTTGCCTACTGTGTCATGTTGAGTATCTGATAAGCTTATCAAGCTTAATGTGTTTGACTTCTGACCACCTCTTCATCACCAATATTTTCTTCCTATAGTCTCTGTCATCTTAGTGGATGGAAATCCTATTCTTTCCATTGTTTTAGGCCTATAATCTTACAGTCATCCTTAACTCCTCTCTCAGTTACAACAGCAAATGTTGGTAGTGAAATGTTCAGAACATATTGGGTTGTTGGAAAAGTCATGACACGTTTTGCAAAGAAAAACATTGAAAAACATGTCATGACTTTTCCAAAGACCCAATATATTGAACGTGAGCACTTAGCACCACTTCTGCATCCCTGATTCAAGTTCTCATTTTTTTCACCGGATTACTAAAATGACCTCCAATTGGGTTGTTCTGCTTCCACTATCCTCTAACTTAGGATTTTGTTCAATTATAATTAATAGATAGAAAACCTCATGACTTACCAATGCCTGTGACTGAGCAACAAATGCTAATGCTTCCTATCACATTGCCATTCCTGACAATATCTTTTTTTTTTTTTTTTTTAGAGATTTTCGCTATGGGGTGTGTGTGCTTGCCAGCCAGACAGAGAGAGACAGAGAGACAGAAAGTGAGAAACCAACCCCCAGGGGGGATGGCCACACTGCAATCCCTTCTCCTCCATTCTCCTCTCGGGATCTTGGGCACGCACGCACACATGCCCAGCATTATTTTTAAGCCACCGGGTCTGGGACTCAAACCGCGGTTGACTATGTGGGTGGTCCAGCGACATAGCCATTACGCTAACTGCTGGTCCCTCCTGACAATATCTTTAAAAAACTATTTGAACTCATTACTTTGAGGTTGTAGGAGTCATTAGGCTTGAAGCTAGATGGCATGCTTAAAGTCTTACTTTTTAGAAATGCTCACAAAATGTAGCTGGCCAGTTAGACAGAAGTCCTATGCCTGGTTGCTATTCATCACCACGTGGAAAAAACAGTTTCTCAGGTTGATGATCCAGACATCCCCTTGCTTCTAGTATTTTCTACATACAATGTTTATCAAGGCATCAATGCATGAATGAGTTTTTCCTGTTGTTTGTTTAAAATTTTTTAAGTCTGGACAGTTTAAATGAAAATGCATATTTCTCCATGAGGCTACATGACCTTTTGTAACAAGGATAGGTTTGCAGGCTAGGAATAAAGACCAGATGAATAAAAATACATCAGATGGTTGAGAAAATTATGGAAGCATGATCTTGAAAGTAACATTGCTAACTGACTGCAGTGATACAGTTCACACACAGTGCAGCCAGTTACTGAATAGGAATATAATTGGTTTCCTTTGAATTCTGTGTATTTTATTTTGTACATCTGAAAAGACTATTTTGGAAAAAAAAATTCATACACTCTTTGAAACTGTCATGGGGATGGGGTACATGACACAAAAAGAGACTTAAACCTTGTACTATTGGGTCATTGGAAAAGTCGTGACACATTTTTGCACAGAAAAACAGAAAAAAACATCATGACTTTTCCGATGACCTAACAGGATGCAAACTCTAAGTAGGTATAGACTTTTTCTCTTTTTTTTAAAAAAAAAATTCATGATAGACATGACATGCACGTGCATGATGAGAGACAGAGAGGGAGAGAGAGAAAGAGAGAGAGAGAAAGGAGTACTCTCAATGGGGTCTCATGATACCACAAACCCCTTCCTCCAGTCCTCTAGATTATCAGGCATTTGGGAACACGTGCACAAGATCAATATATTTTCAGGTCAACCCAGGGATCTGAACCCACGGTTGCCTATGTGGCTTCCAGCATTGCAGTTCAGTTTGCTATCAACAGTGCCATTAGGCTAGACCAACTTTTTCTTTTCTGTACTTTGTTTATCTTTGGCTAAGGAATCTACCACTTGGTAGGATTTGATTAATTGTAAAAATAACCGAAGGGCAGATAGGATTCTGTTATTCGTTTCCTCCCCTTACCCTGGTGTCCACCCCCTTACTTTTGCCTGAGGCTGCCTTTCCTTTATTCACTATAGGTGGCATATTCATTAAAGGAATTGTAGCCCTTGGAAAGGACTGGAGACAACATTTCTGAAAATACTACCAAAAGGTAAGGGTTTTTCTGGAAATGATGCCAAACTTTCAATACATGCCCGTTGGGAGGTAGCAACGTTAAAAAACAAAAAACAAAAACAAAAACTAAACTATCCTAACAGGAAAGAAACTCGTCAATAACTCATACTTCGGGGATTTCCATGTTGCCTCTCCCATACCCCTCCATGGAAAAAAGTCACATTGTATTCTTAATTAATATTTTCCATTTTAGGGATACCTAGTCAAACTACCTTTTCTCAGCAGGTCTAAAGAATTCTGAGATGAGGGACCAGCAGTTAGCATAATGGCTATGTCGCTGGACTCCCATGTAGTTGACCGTGGTTTGAGTCCTAGACCCAGCGGCTTAAACTCACGTCAGGCATGTGTGCGTGCGTGCCCAAGATCCCAAGGAGAGAATGGAGGAGAAGGAGAAGGGATTGCGGTGTGGCCATCCCCCTGGGGGTGATTTCTCACTTTCTGTCTCTCTGTCTCTCTCAGTCTTTCTGGCAAGCGTACACGCTCTATAGCAAAAACCTTTCCAAAAAAAGAAAAAAAGAATTCTGAGATGACTGATTTTTCTCAACTGAAAAATTTTCTCTGTTGATTTTTCTGCCATGTTAAGGGGAAAAAGTCACGGAAAAAAAAAAAAAACAAAAAACCCATAGTTTTAAACATCATGGTTCAGGGCCAGCAGATGGCATGGTGGTTACATTGCTGGATTCTCTCATGGCTGACTATAGTTCAAGTCCCAGACACAGTGGCTTGAAACTCATGCCAGGCATGTGTGAGTGAGTGCCCCAGATCCCAGGAGAATGGAGAAGAAGGAATTGCAGCATGGCTATCCACCCTGAGGGGTGATTTCTCACTTTTACTCTCACTGTCTCTCTTTGTCTTTCTCTCTCCAGCAAGAGCATGAGTCCTAAGGAAGAAAACCTCTACCAAATAAATAAATTAATTAATTAAATAAACCCTGTGGTTCATGTCAATTACTGTACTTAAGAAACGCAAAACAATTAATGTGGCTGCAGCGGGACTTAGAGGTAACCAAACACCATGTTATCTGTGTGCAGACTTACTAAGGTGTATTAGATCTTCCCAGCCTTCATAAAATGTGGGCTGAATAGTTCAGAACAGATCAAAAGGACCTAGTTATGCACTACCCAAGTTTCTTACAACAGGACAAAATGATAGGAAAGAGGCTGTCTGAAGAAAATTACATTAAACCTGATTAACTTCTCTGATTAATAACTTTTCTAAAGTCTATTTTTAAACTATCTGTATTTTCTTATAAATACTTCAAGAGGAGAGAACTAACATTTACTGATTTTTTTATTACCTCCAGGTGGAGAGCTTGTTGGCTTGACACATACACATATCCTGTGTAAACTTTCCAAACACTATGAGGTCACTATTAGGGGGCCTGAAGCTTGGAGGGGTTATGTGATTGGCCCAAAGTCACGCTCTTTCCATCATAACATGCTGCTCTTAAGACCACAGAATTTTCTAGTTTTTAGTGGTTTCATAACACCTTTATGGTTCTATTATTTGTTCAATGTTGTTCCTTAAATTTACTGACTTAAAAGATTAAATACATTTATGTAAAAGGAAACTGCATTGCTGGCAATAAATAAAAAGTACTACTTGCCATTGGTTGAAAATAATTATAAAAATAAATACAATAAAAACAGGACAATGTATGTACATGCGAGAGGACAAATGCACTTGTCAATGAACATTCTGACATTCTGAACCTGAAGTTGACTGTGCTAAACAGGGAGATATTGGGTTGTTGGAAAAGTCAAGATATGTATATATATATATATATATGTGTGTGTGTGTGTGTGTATGTGTGTGTATTTTTAAATGTAAAAAAATATCATGACTTTTCTGAGAACCCAATATTATAGAAGGAAGGGCATTACAGCTATTATTAGGGGGCCAGCAGGTGGTGTGATGGTTAAGATACTGGACCTCACATGGCCGACCGCAGTTTGAGTCTCAGTCTTGGTGGCTTAAAAATCATTGCTGGGTGTGTGTGTGTATGTGCTCAAAAATCCCCAAGAGGAAAATGGAGGAGAAGGGATTGTAGTGAAGCATCTTTGGGAGTGATTCCTCACTTTCTCTCTTACTTTTTCTGTCTCTCTGGAGAGTGCATATGCCTTATGGCAAAAACCTAAAAAAAAAAAAATCTATAATTAGTATCAAAAGGAGACTTTTTTCCTTGAGTAATCAGGAGAATTGAGAGAAAAGTGAAAAGGGACAAACTCCCCCAGTATGTGACCGATGGACTGTTATTTAATGCAATGACCCAGAACCATCTAAAAAAAGCTCTTGAACCACTGGTGGTAGTTTTTCTTGTGCATTGGAAAACATGATAAAGTGTACTCTGTTGTAGATATCTCTGGCAGATGCTGTTGGCAGATCCCCTGTGCCCATGCCAGATGTCTTCCCAAATTCTGGTACAATTCTCTTGCATGTGCTGGTTTCTGAACTCCTTCTGGGGGCTTTCTGCAGCCCACGGGAGCCTGCTTGGCTAGCATATGAGAGGGCCCAGACTGACATGCCAAGAGTTAAGTCTCTCAAGAACAATCATCAAATCAGAAGTTGGTGGATTAAAAACCCCTGCTTCCTTGTGCTTTATAGGACCAATTTCAAGGGTCGATTTATACAGTCTCAAAAAGAATCTACAGCAAAATTGAGTCCCAGCTGCCCACAGAAGCAACCTGCTCATTAATGCACACTTTACTACCTTTCCTCTTTTTCCAGCCTCATCACGCCTAGCCCTTCACTGTCCTGCCTGGGATTTCTTAAATAAATTGTTCTCACTTAAATCCTTTCCAAAGGGTTTGGTTCTAGGGAATACAACCAGAAAATGTATCTTATGGTTTTGCAACAAAAAATGAAAAAATACACAAAGAAGTAACATAAAGCTGTCTACTTACTATCATTTCCTGATCATTAAGCTGAGTCCTCTACCACTCTTACTCTTAGAACAATGAGGTGAACCCAGATGTAGGGGCAGGTATGGAATTGGACTGACCTCTTCGAAACTCTCCAATAACCAAGAGACTGCAGAGTTCTAACACAAGCCTCTATCATTATCTCTGATGACGGAATCCCTGCTTATTCCAAAAAATTGAAATTGGACATAGCTTTAGCAACCACAGTGGATATGATTATTTTTTCTTTTCTTTCTGGTCTTTAGGCAATTTGGAGGATAATGTGATTATATCTTATCTTTCTTTTGTACATTGTATTGGTTGTGAGTGGATTTTCCTTTCTTTTTCTAATAAGAGAGCTTGAGGGAAGGAAGAGAAAGAGAGAAAGAAAGAGAAGGAAGAAGAAAAGGAGAAAGAGAACTAAGTATTTTTAACCAGGTCTCACATGTCACAATCTTCCCACCTCAGCCTCCTAGTTAGCCAGGACCAAAAGCATGGCCCATTTAAGTTGGGCCAAAAAGTGAACCCCAGCCTTCCACCTGGTGCCCCTCAACTTGTGCCACTGTGGTTGGGCTATGAGTAGATCTGCTGATGATACACTTAAAAGAAACCCCTCTGCCAGAAAAGGGAGAATAAGTTATTACTCATTTTACTTAAAACTGAAGAACTTTGCTGAGGCTATGTAGACTTGACTTCAGAGAACAATATGAACAGAATTCCACGCATACCTTTAGTACATTCTCTGCAGAAGTTATGTAACAAATGTATTATTACATCGACAAATAAGGCAATGGACCATATGAACTCACTGAATCTTATGATTCCCATTACACTTTAAAAAGAGTATGTCAACAGAAAAGAATAGAGAATGATGTATCGGGTGCCCATGTACCCACAGAAAAGCTTTCTGAAACCTTAACATTTTGCCATAACCCTCTTTTTTCCTTGTAAAGAAATGAAACATCACAAAATATACTTGGAACTCCCCATTATTTCTCCCTATTCTTGTTCTCCTCCCTCTTCCAATGGATTTTGTTTTTATCCCAGGTTTTGTTTTTATCATTCCCAAGGATATTTTAATGTTTTTACTACACATGCAGTATAAACTACAGTATGGCATTGTATGTTTTTAAACTTTATATAACTGGATCATTGTTTGTTTCATTCTATGGCTTGATGCTTTACAATCATATTTTAGAGATTTATCCATTTACATGGATATGTATATATACACACATGATTTAGCTCACTCATATTAACTGCTGTGAAACATTCCATTGCATAAATAAACCCCTGCTTGTTTTCCCATTTTCTAGCTGATGAACATTTAAGTCATTTTCAGTGTTTTCTTATAAGACACAATGTCTCTACAAATACTCTGGGATACGGTTTACTGTGCATATGTGCAGAAATTTCTTGTAAGATATATCCCTAAAAGTGGAAATTCTGGGTTATATACTATGTGCAGCTTTGACTTTATTATAGACAGCCAAGTTGCTCTCTAAAGGCCCATTTATAACCCCATCAGCATGTCTGCAATTTCTCTTTCCCCCACATTCTTGCCCACATTTGGTATGGACAAGCTAAGACTGTTTTTGCCAACCTGAGGGCTGTGAATAGTATTTCATTCTGTTTTTAATTTGCTGGAAAGAGGTTGTTTATAAATTTTGGGTGCTAATTCTTTGTGTGATTTATATACATTGCAAATATTTCAACCTAGTCAGTGAGTTTCTTTGCACCTTGATTTTGGTGTCTTGACATGAATGAAAGTTCTGACTTTTTTTTTTATTTTTAATATTTTGGCCAGAGGGAATGTGTGCCAACCAGAGAGACAGGAAGAGAGAGGGAGAAAGAGAAAGCACCTCCCAATCTTTCCCACTATACAAAATGGCAGGTAAAAAAACTGTGAAACAGGATACTAAGGAGAAGAAACCTGAAGCCAAGAAGGCTGATGCCAGTGGCAAGGTTAAAAAAGGTGACCCCAAGGACCAGCAGTTAGTGTAACGGCTATGTCACTGGACTCCCGCGCAGTCAACCGTGGTTCGCATCCTGGGCCTGGTGGCTTAAAACTCACACC